TTTAATGTACAATAATATATAAATAAAAAAATTAATGGACTATTATAACTGATAAGCTAAAATAAACGAATGTTTTGTATTAGTCTCATTATTGTTTATATTTGATTGAATAATCAAGTATCATAACTATTACAAATAATATCACTTTAAGTTTACCTATTATGTAATCATAAATTGATTATAAATAATGAGAGAAAACAAAAAAAGGGGTGTTCTTTTGTAGACATGGGTTATTCTATTGTTACTATGGTTATGAAAACCTAAATAGCCTATTTGTATTATTTGTGAGATAATGATATAGGATTTAAGTTTTATTATTATTATGATGATGATTGTTTTTGTTTTATCCAGGTTGAAGATTGGTTGTAGTTAGACATCAACACTGTTGGTTAATAGTTTATACGAGAAATTTGAAGGTGCTAGAGTTTGAGTCTTATTTGAGATATTGTGGATACACGTTTTTAATTTTTGTTTTTTGAATCGTTTTATATTAGAATAAAACGGAAATCGATTATCTCTAGATTTTCAATAATGGTCTAACATTGATTAATTTAGAATCTTAATAAAAGCTCAACAATCACCTGAAGTTCTATTGAGAAGCCATAATCAATGAAGTACAATCCATGTCGAATGGAAACAGTTATCCACTTCAGACAATGGATGAAGGTTTGTGCAAGAACATGGATCAATTCAAGTTAGACATGAACGCTGTAGGATGACCGTTCAGTAGTCTAGAGGTTAAGTGTTCATGAACAAAACCAAATGGATTGGGTTCGAGTCACGCATATGATATCATGCATGTGCATGTTAACTGTCCAGTGCTTCCATGTTTTCAATGATCATCTAGATTAGATCAACTCATGGATTCAACGATTAAAAATTATTACAATCTTCCCAAATCTCCCATCTTGATAAACAGAAATTCCAAATTTATATTACTGACCAAATCGATATTTAAAATTTAAAAGAAAAAAAATATTTTTTGAATGTTAGTTTGTTGATTTTTACCTTTGAACATATTTGATAAGCTTTTTGTCAATCAATCAATCAATCAATCAATCAATCAATCAATCAATGAATCGATGAACCACAAAGGTTCAATACAGCCTTCCTTCGAGATACTGATAAACTCAATGAATTCAAGGTAGCTCTCAACAACAGGTTCCAAGCCTTACAGGATCTACTGAAGGAAGAAGAAACTACTATGGAGGATAGCTGGAAAGGTATCAAAGAAACATTAACTTGAACGTGTCAAGAGGTTCTGGGCCCCAAGAAGCATCATCACAAGGAATGGATCTCTACAGAAACACTGGACAGGATCAAAGAAAGAAAGAACAAGAAGACAGCAATTAACAACAGTCGAACAAGAGCAGAGAAAGTCCAAGCACAAGCTGAGTACATAGAAGCAAACAAGAAAGTGAAGAAGAGCATTAGAGCTGATAAGCAAAAATACGTGGAAGAACTAGCAACGACGGCGGAAAAAGCTGCAAGAGAAGGAAATATGAGACAGCTTTACGATACGACGAAGAAGCTAGCAGGGAAATACAGTAAACCAGAGAGACCAGTCAAAGACAAAGAAGGAAGACCAATTACTGAGATTCAACAACAGCGCAACAGATGGGCAGAGTACTTCGAGGAACTCCTGAACAGGCCGGCTCCAATGAATCCACCGGACATCGAAGCAGCACACACAGATCTTCCTATAAATGTCAATCCACCAACGACAGAAGAAATCAGAATGGCCGTCAGACAAATCAAGAGTGGGAAAGCAGCAGGACCTGACAATATACCAGCTGAAGCGTTGAAGTCAGACATCGAAGTAACTACAAGCATGCTTCATCTTCTAGTCAAGAAGATTTGGGAGGAGGAACAAGTACCGATGGATTGGAAAGAAGGACACCTCATCAAGATTCCAAAGAAAGGAGATCTGAGCAAGTGTGAAAACTACAGAGGCATTACACTACTGTCAATACCGGGTAAAGTCTTCAACAGGGTGTTACTGAACAGGATGAAAGACGCAGTTGACGCTCAACTTCGAGATCAACAAGCTGGATTCCTTAAGGACCGGTCGTGCACAGACCAGATTGCGACACTACGGATCATCGTCGAACAATCAATTGAGTGGAACTCGTCACTCTACATCAACTTCATTGATTATGAGAAGGCATTTGACAGTGTAGATAGGAGGACGTTATGGAAACTTCTTCGACACTACGGAGTTCCTGAGAAGAATGTCAACATTATCCGGAACTCATACGATGGACTACAGTGCAAAGTAGTGCATGGAGGACAGCTGACAGACGCATTCCAAGTAAGGACCGGAGTAAGACAAGGCTGTCTACTCTCTCCCTTCCTGTTTCTTCTGGTGGTCGACTGGATTATGAAGACCTCGACATCTGAGAGAAACTACGGCATACGATGGACAGCTCAGAACCAATTAGACGACTTGGACTTCGCAGATGACCAAGCCCTCCTATCACATACACACGAACAAATGTGGATAAAGACAGCCAGCATAGCAGCAGTCTCTGCATCAGTAGGCCTCAACATACACAAAGGGAAAACCAAGGTCCTCAAACACAACACGGAGAACAGCAATCCAATCACTCTTGATGGCGAAACTCTGGAAGACGTGGAATCCTTCACATACCTGGGAAGCATCGTCGATAAACAAGGAGGTTCAGATGCAGACGTCAAGGCGAGGATTGGCAAAGCTAGAGCGGCATTCCTTCAACTGAAGAACATATGGAACTCAAAACAACTTTCAACCAATATCAAAGTCAGAATCTTCAATACGAACGTCGAGGTAGTCAGTTCTACTGTACGGAGCTGAAACTTGGAGAACTACAACAACCACCATCAAGAAGGTACAGGTATTTATCAATAGCTGTCTACGCATGATACTCAACATCCATTGGCCGGATACCATCAGCAACAGCCTTTTGTGGGAGAGAACCAACCAGCTTCCAGCTGAAGAGGAAATTAGGAAAAGACGATGGAAATGGATAGGACATACATTGAGGAAATCATCAAACTGCATTACAAGACAAGCGCTAACTTGGAATCGTGAAGGGAAGCGGAGAAGAGGAAGGCCAAAGAACACATTACGTCGGGAAATAGAAGCAGATATGAAAAAGATGAATAAGAACTGGAAAGAGCTTGAAAGGACTGCCCAGGACAGGGTTGGATGGAGAATGCTGGTGAGCGGCCTATGCTCCTTCACGAGGAGTAACAGGCGTAAGTAAGTAAGTAAGTAACTACTTGTACTACTACTACTACTACTACCACTACTACTACTACAGCTACTACTACTACTACTACTACTACTACTACTACTACTACTACTACTAATACTAATACTACTACTACTAGTAATAATAATAATAATAATAATAATAATAATAATAATAGTGTAATTTCCTATTCTATTCAATGTAAGTTTTTGGTGATTTTCTTGTTAAAAGTTTATTAGCTAATTTCTTCACCTTAAATTGAACGAACACCAGGAGTTTAGTAACATTAAATGATAATTGACAATCGGTAGATTGTAGTACATTACCGATTGAAATCATGTAGGTTGTAAAGTAAATTTAAAAAAAAAAAAAAAATAGAAAAATAGAAAAAAAAGATGGTCATTTTTGTGAAATTATCATTAAAACTGTTTCTAATCATTTCATATTATAGAATTGTAGTAGTGAATAAGAACAAGAATGGGTGAACATCGAATGTATTTGACACGAATTCTCACCACCGTACACCATTATTTTCAGTGAATTGGTTGAAGTTAGACATTAACACCATTGGATACCGGCTGACCCAGTGGGCTAATGGTTAAGCGCTGATTGGTCCTGGGTTCAAATCTCGCTGGGGTGGGGGACGGGATCAAGGAGACGCACTGGTGAGGAGCTTCATACTAGGACGAAATGACCGGTCAATTCTTCCAGGTTTTCCATAGTGGTTCAGTTTCAATTGACTCATGATTTCAACTATTGATATAGTACATAGTTAATTTGTAAAATATTAACCCATCGTCTCATATTACATTGTTCATGCATTTTCGTGCCTTATCGATCTTCTACTGAAATACATTCTATGCCTGACCACTGTTATATACTACTTATATGGATATAAGTAACCCACACAACAGAATGAGTTTATTTAGATATATATGTATAGTGAATAGTTGTTTTGTTCCAATATGAAGTTACATGAGTTATTCAGTCTAGGACCTCTTAACGAGTACTTAAGATTGGAATCTATGACTTAATTTATGAATTGATATATGTATTTTGACAAGATTAGTTGATTTTAAAGTATTTTACGTAGACAATGTTTTTAAAATAAATATTTGAACCTTTTGAATGATGATTGTGGTTGTTCTCCACATTTCATCTCCATACAATACAATTAACTATCTTGACTTTTGTACTGAAGATTGCAACTTTGATGTTGGCCTGTTGACAATTGTTTAGAGTTCCCATATATTCTTCATTTATAGGAATGCTATTCTTACTTTATCAATCTATACCATTACCTCCATATCTAATCCTCCTTGTTTATGGATAATGTTATTGTCCAAGTAAGTGAAAGTTTCTATACACTTATCAAATAAAAATTACCTACTGTTTCCCATAATGTTCCATTTTTTGACATTTCCTATAGTCTTGAAATGAATTTCGGTCACAAAAGTAAAAAAAAAAAGAAAAAGAAAATAAACAACTTGAAAAACAATTAATGTAAAAATATGAGGATCACAGTCACACACATAGTCAAACCTAATAAACAGTTACCATCTTAGAAATAACCTAATTTTTCACAAGAGAGATTTAAAATGAGATCATCATTAAAAATTAAAAAAAAACAACTTTTTTTTCTATTAAATAATCATTAGAAAAAAAAAAATTTAATCTCACCCTTATTGAATACAAAAAAAAGTACACTCTCATACCCCCTCTCCCCACTCCCCTCATCCCCCCCCACCAAAACAATAATACATAGCAACAACAAAAAGAACTTATTAATGGACAATTTTAACTTTCTAATTTATTTAAATGAATGATAATTATATAAAATTATTAGTTTGTATGTCTATTTTAAACAATAAAATATATAAAACGTACTGTTTTTACCTATGTAATCATTATGAAGTTCATTGTTCAATTTAATGTTCATTATGTTCATCATTTCACGGGAATACTTGAATTGAATTTACATATGCCAGTAGTAGTAGTAGTAGTAGTAGTAGTAGTAGTAGTAGTAGTAGTAGTAGTAGTAGTAGTAGTAGTAGTAGTAGTAGTAGTAGTAGTAGTAGTAGTAGTAATAGTAGTAGTAGTAGTGATAATAATAATAATAATTACTATTATAGGGTATAAAACAGTATAATATACATCATTGTTTGAAATTTCATGCTGTGCTATAGTATCCATAATGAAAATTAGTTTCTAAACAAAATGGGAAATGTTTAATCATTTATAGAAAAAAAAAACAGTAAAGAAGATGATCTTAACAGTATAATATGAACTATATGCGTTGTTAATGAAATAGAGATAAGTATAGGATTTTAATTTGTCCGTAAATGCCATGGTACAGCTGAGAATGGGGAGAGTCAGCTCTCTCTCTCTCTCTCTGTAAATGTTCTCACATGGCCACCTGAATACAATCACTACCAGAGAATTCCTATTCACTGCCTTCTTGACACATTACTAATGTTTACGAAACTAAGAGGACGGAAAGCAAATATACGACACTTTAATGGGGTTGGTGGATATGGAGGATCCATCTAGGGGAGTTGGAAAATCCTCATCCTAAACCATTAGTTCATATGGACCCTAGGATCTTGAGGGAACAAATGGTGTATGAACCAATCGTTCGTAACCAGTTACCATGTGACTGCATCTCCTTACGTTGCTCTATTGCGTTGTGGGTCACACCTTTAGGTCGAAGGCTATGGGTGTGGCTGCTTCGGTTTTGGCACCCGGACAGTATCCTAACCCTTACACGAATCGAATAATTTACGTGGCGTATATCTGTTTGGTGCCTCCTTGTACCTATGTTTATGTGTTTAAATAAAATAAAATAGGATTTTAATTTACATGTGAACATTAATAAATGAAATACTGATATATCTAATAGATGATTCTTGAAGAAGATGAAATGTAAGTTCTAATTTTCAACCTTATTATTAATAATCTTTTGTTCAGATTTATATTATCATTACTGCTAATACAACTCCGCCTGTAGCTGTTCTAGAGTAACTGGCGGTCCCAAGCCCGGGTAAAGGAGAAAGGATGGGCATCAGGTTATCGACCCCATCCCGTAGAAAACTAACTCACTAAAAAAACGCTAACCAGAAAAATAACTCAAACCATTTAAACTCTTCCCTGAGAGTTAAAAGGTCTTCAGTTAGAAGAAACATGACGCCTCATGGTAAATGCCGAGTTCCTTCGGAAGCCACGAGGCCGATGCCTCTTCTGAAAACCAGAGCAACAATTTTTATAGGTACATTGAACGTCCGGACAATGTGGGAGACCCAAGATACTCAACATCTATTGGCCGGATACCATCAGCAACAGCTTTTTGTGGGAAAGAACCAACCAGCTTCCAGCTGAAGAGGAAATTAAGAAAAGACGATGGAAATAGATAGGACATACATTACGCAAATCATCAAACTGCATCACGGGGTAAGCGCTAACTTTGAATCCTGAAGGGAAGCGGAAAAGAGGAAGCGTATATGAAAAGGATGAATAACAACTGGAAAAATCTGGAAAGGTTTGCCCAGCACAGCTTTGGATAGAGAATGCTGGTGAGTGGCCTATGCTCCTTCATGACTAGTAACAGGCGTAAGGAAGCAAGTAAGTAACTGCTAATACACTAGTTAATGAAAGTTTTAATCCAACAAGGCACCTCAGTTCTTACATGCATTTTGGTGAATAATATTGATTAGCAGGAAACCTAAATCACATATAGCCTTCTGTTGATTTCACTAAACCATCTAGTATCGAAATATGTATTGCTTTACTGAACTATTTCTTAGTAAGTTGTTTGATTTTAGTCTATTTCGAATGGAGATACAGATAGATATTTAACTCCCCTAGGTAAATCCTCCATATTCGCCAACCCGTTTAAAGCGCCAGACATTCACTTTTCGTCCTCTCAATTTCGTAAACGACACCTCCGTCGTGAGAAGGCATTGAGTAGGACTTTCCTAGTTGTGGTTGTATGCATGTGGTCATGTGAAAGCATTTCGAGTGGGAGAGCTGCCTCTCCCCACTCTCAGCCGTTCCATGGTATTTCGGAGCATATACAGACTTAAATTTATTTTAGGTACTATAGCCTAATCATGTAGTAGCACGTTCTTTGTATAGCTGTTAAACATGTTTCTATTTCCTTCTTACTAGTATATGTACGAAGGGTTCAATATTGACATTTTTGTTAAAGTGACGCTTTACTAGAGATCTAAATTAGTATTACATAATTCATCAGCCAATAATAATAATAATAATAGCAATACGAATACACACAAGAATCAATGAGCTGAATAGCTATTTCTAAGTTCGATTATGAATCTGGAATGGATTCTATCTACATTAATCATCTCTGTGTAAACATGGAATTCCATACAGAGACAGAACTGATATCCGATAGTTCATGGTTTCTCAATGGATTTTCCAGAAGGTTTTCCAGTTAGCATCAGGGATTAGTGAAAACTGATTTACATTTGTATGCTAAAAATACACAAATAAATCACATCAGTGATGAGACTCATCATAAGAGATTGTTTAAATTGAGAATTTGTGACCTGTGGAACCAGTCAATTCGATAGTGAATAAATCTGACTAAAACTGTTTTATTATTACGGCTACTACTGTAAAACAACTCAATACACATGAGGAATGTATATTTATTGTGAGAAGTTACATAATACATATGCATAGCCGTCAGTCATCCATTAGGATCTTTCAATGTATTCTGCCATCTGAAAAATCTTCTCTTCTGGTCTCATAGTGTCCAAAAAACCTTATGCTTTCAATGCACTGAATCACTTCACTCTGTCTGACAACTGTTGCATCTACGGCGCCACGTTTCGCTACAGTACAAATGTCATATTTTTTATACATTAACAAACACAGATACACAGAAGTCTCAAATAAATCATATTGACTTGATCAGATCTATTTTTTGACTGATCGTACTAAATATTTTTGTATTGTTCTTTCATACTATTTAAACGTGACCTAATTCAATTTCACGGTTCACGTAACGAGTTGATTACCGTTTCGTTCTAGTATAAGACTCCTCAGGAATATGCGTTCCCGACGCCGTACGCAGGACTCAAAACCAGAGTCGTCAGTTTAGTGTAAATACCTAAACTCTGGACATCTAATTTAAACTAATCCATTATCTATCTTTTGGCTATTGTCTGCGGTGGGTAACTGTCGCACACCTGAAACTGCTGAGACTACACTAATCAAAGCTTCTCACTAAGACTCTGGGAGTCGAATCTTGAAGCTGATCACTAGCAAGAACATTATATATTATCCGTTCTGATTCTCTTTTCTTCGATCTTCTTAACCTTCTGTCGCCAAATATTTCACTTTCGACTGACGATACATACTACTAATATCTGTCGATATCAGTAGCACACACCTCGAATTACAATTTACTAACCAAATGAGATAATACTTGTTTTAATAGTTGAAAGAAGAGACTTGTTTTCCATCTTATATGAATTTATAAGAGTGATAATTAACAAATTAAGAGTATACTGTACTTTACTTACTTTCGCCCGTTACTCCCAATGGAGCATAGGCCGCCGACCAGCATTCTCCAACCCACTCTGTCCTGGGCCTTCTTTTCTAGTTCCATCCAATTCTTGTTCATTCTTCTCATATCTATCTCCATTTCCCGGCGTAATGTATTCTTTAGTCTTCCTCTTCACCACCTTTGGTCTTGAGGATTCCATGTGAGGGCTCACCTTGTGACGCAGTTCGGTGTTTTCCTCAATGTGTGTCCTATCCACTTCCAGCGCTTCTTCCTGATTTATTCCTCCGCTTGAATCTGGTTTGTCCTCTACCACAGTAGGTTGTTGCTAATAGTGTCTGGCCAACGGATTCGAAGTATTTTGCGTAGACAACTGTTAATAAACACCTGTATCTTCTGGATGATGGCTTTCGTAGTTTTACAGGTTTCGGCCCCATACAGTAGAATTGTCTTCACATTTGTATTAAAAATTCTGACGTTGGTGTTGGTTGCCAATTGTTTTGAGTTCCAGATATTCTTCAGTTGTAAATATGCTGTTCTTGCTTCGCCAATTCGTGCCTTCACATCTGCATTAGATCCACCGTGTTCATCAATGATGCTTCCCAGATATGTGAAGCTTTTTACACCATCCAAAGCTTCTCCGTCAATTGTGATTGGATTGGTGCATGCTGTGTTGTATTGAAGAATCTTGCTTTTCTCTTTGTGTATATTGAGACCTATTGCTGCTGATGCTGCTACTACACTGGTCGTCTTCTCCTGCATTTGTTGTTGCGTTTGCGACAGAAGAGCCAGATCATGTGCGAAGTCTAGATCATCCAACTGCATCCTGGATGTCCACTGTATCCCGTGTTTCCCTTCAGATGTTGACGTCTTCATGATCCAGTCGATCACCAGGAGAAAGAGAAAGAGTGAGAGTAAGCAACCTTGCCTGATACCGGTCTTTACCTCGAAGGAGCTTATCAACTGTCCTCCATGAACGATTTTGCAGTTTAATCCATCATAGGAATTCCGTATGATATTGACTATCTTCTGAGGCACGCCGTAGTGTCGAAGAAGCTTCCATAGGGTTGTTCTGTCCACGCTGTCAAATGCTTTTTCGTAGTCAATGAAGTTGATGAAGAGTGATGAATTCCATTCAATTGATTGTTCTACAATGATCCGTAGAGTTGCGATTTGATCTGTACACGATCTATCTTTACGGAATCCTGCCTGTTGGTCTCGAAGTTGGGCGTCTACGGAGTCATTCATCCTGTTCAACAATACCCTGTTGAAGACTTTTCCTGGTATTGAAAGAAGAGTGACTCCTCTGTAGTTGTCACGGTTGCTGAGATCGCCTTTCTTTGGTATTTTGACTAGATGTCCTTCTTTCCATTCTGTTGGTACTTGTTCCTCATCCCAAATCTTATTGAAGAGAATGTGGAGTATCCTTGCAGTTGCCGCTACGTCTGCTTTCAGTGCTTCTACTGGAATGCTGTCTGGTCCTGCTGCTTTGTCACTCTTGATTTTTCTGATAGACTTGCTTATTTCTTCAATTGTTGGTGGGCCAACATCGATTGGGAGGTCCGTGAGTGCTGCTTCGATGGTGGGTGGGTTCAGTGGGGCTGGTCGATTCAAGAGTTCTTTGAAGTGTTCTACCCACCTGTTTTGTTGTTCTTCAATGTTGATGATTATCTTGCCTTCCTTGCTTTTCACTGGTCGTTTTGGTTTACGGTGATTTCCAGAGAGTTTTTTTGTTGTGTCATACAGTTGTCTCATGTTTCCTTCTTTGGCAGCCTTTTTCGCCGTCATCGCTAAATCTTCCACATATTTACGTTTGTCAGTCCTGATGCTCTTCTTCACTTGCTTGTTTACTTCTGCG